CACAAGCGGTTGATACGTTCGGGCGATTAGACCATAAATTAATCTTTTTCAAGCTGTCGTGACAAAATCATTCTCCATATTTCTGCAAAAAAGAAATTACTTAATGAAAAGCGAACAACAGTGCAGACCAAACTGACGTGGGTGTTTTTTTTTTTTTGTTTTTTTTTTGCACTGGTCGCATGGGCAGAATGAGTTTCCGTCAGCAAGCATGCTAAGGTTTAAATTTAAAAGTACTATTTTTTTGTAAAGTATACACTATGAATCTCAATATGAAGGTGTTAGAAATAGATATGAGTGTATATTTGATAAAGCATGTTTAAACAATAAGCTGTTATACATGCCAATAATCGAATTTCCTGAATTGCAAAGAGTTTCCATTTATACTATATCAGGAAGTGCTCCAATCTAAAATATACAAAGAGTATACTTACTGAGAATGAAACTAGTACAAACATACATAATTATAATACAAATGTATATGTCTTTAATACATATGTTCAAATAATGTCTTATCATCAAGCAGAAATTTCCGAAATGTGCTTAGACATGGCAATCATAAATTTTGTTACCATTTGCTCATACATGTATGCAGTTATCATATTGAATGTATAAAGTTGGATCTAATAGTGTGCATTATATTTTATCAGAAATAGTACATTTTTACACTGTATGTTTATATATCATTCAGGTGAATTATGACAAATAATAAATTAATGTTAAATGTCGATTATGTACAAAACTGCTGATTTTTTTGTATCTTTATGCATGTATTCATTTCATGTATATTAAATTGTTGCTCATTTGTCAATATGTTATCCTCATGGATGTAAGACATTCTGGAATTAACATAAATAAAATCATATAAAAGCATTTGATAACGCCGAGTAGTGACCGGATCACAAAAGTCAGCGGCGTAATCCCATGACATAAAACGCGGTTTAGGGCCGTTTAAACTGTTTTGAATAGTTTAATGATATAAAGGAAGAAACATTTCTACCAGTTTGGTCATTCTGATATTGAGTGTCAACAATTTTCATTTATTAGTATATTTATTCACGGTTTAATAAAATAAAAAAGAGTGACATATTTTTAGAACAGGGAAACTTAAATTCACCGTATTACAACAAAAGCATTTTGTTTAAAAGAAATAGTTATAAAGTTGGATAAAGCTATAAATGATCTCAAAATATTGAACAATATTTTATTGTAAAGCAACGCATAACAAATAGAACAAATGTAACCAATATTCGATTTTCTTGATCATTACTATTTTCAGCGAAATTTTCCCTTTTTTTCCAAATTTTTTAAGTGCAGCCGAAAAAATTATTTGTAATCAAAATTTGTATTTTATTTCGTTAAATCATTTTCTGCAAAATTTTTGTTAAAATTTAGTAACGCTTGTTTCAAAAAAAAAATTTTATTTCAAAAATGACGGGAATTGAGATTTTTTTCTATTACTTAAAGCCAAAAATTTTTTAAGTTTTAAAGGGGGGAAACGGGGAAAAATTTTCGTTGCTTCTTTTTGAATTTTTCTTTCGTTATCTGAAAAATGTTCTCAAATAATCACTGAAAAAATCTTTTCCCCTTTAAAGTAAAAATGAGGTTTTTAACCTGACCCAGTGGGTCAGGTTAGAGCTTTAAAGTTTTCCACAGTAAATTTAAAAAACGTTAAAAAACATCTAAAAATGAATGCCCTTGAACTTGTTTCAATCATACAATATCGACAAAATATCTGTTTTGTTGAAGCCACAAAATGTGTTTTAAAACTCACCTCGGTGATTGTCGGCTTCTTAACTGTCGTTCAATATAATATATAGATAAACTTCAAACCGCAACCGCAAGGCTTCAAAACCCAAAATTATAGAATAAATACAATTTTCATGCTTGGATTAAAAAATGTCATTTTTAGCGTGATTTGAGTCATAATATTTTATATTTTTTGTCATTAATTTATGGTGGCTGATTTGTGCCATTCGTGTTTTCGCCCCGCGACCCCAACTAGCGAAAAGTCGAGAATTAACAAGTTAAAACGGCGGGGTCGTGGGACGAAAACACGATAATTAGCGCGGACGCGGCGTAGTTAAATAATTAAAACTTCACTCCGCGGGGGCGCAGGACGAGATTTAAGAAATGAAACGACGTGGGCGCGGAACGAAAACATGCCCCCTTATTTAACTTGTTAATTATCGACTTTCTGCTTGGCTGGGTCGTGGGATGAAAACACGCTAATTAGCGTGGGGCGGCGAAGTTTTATTTATTAAACTTCGCCCCGCGCCCTCGCTAATTAGCGTGTTTTTGTCGCGCGAACCTGCAATTTTATTTCTTAAATCTGGCTTCGCGCCCATGCAGGCCGAAGTTTTATTTATTTAAGTTCGCCCGTGCCCTCGCTAATTTTAAACATTTTAAAAAATTTCTAATACAATGCAAAATGACTTTTCATTTGACGATGTACATAAAGTGAGGTATGAGGAGGTAAACATTGATGAGCTTGATCGTCCTTTTGATATTAAAGAGGTTACAAAAACAATTGCATCTATGAATAGGGGCAAAAGTTTTGCGATTATGACAGGAATGTAGCTGATTTTTTTCATCGATTCTAATAATTTTTCTCCCCATACCTTGTTTCTAATTTTTAATAAAGTTATGATTCTGGTTTATACCCAGAAGCTTGGTGTAAGGGTATAATTGTACCAATTCACAAAAAAAGGCGATGTAACAAATCCTTCTAATTACCGAGGTATTACCCTTGTGAATGTTATAGGTAAAATATTTCTTTATTGCTTAGAAATAGATTGAAAATGGTTTGTGAGCAAAATCATGTGTCTTACATGAAACACAATTTGTTTTAGAGATAGTCATTCTACCGCTGACTGTATATTTTTACTTCATTCCATCATTCAAAAAGTGTTGACTAATAAATCGAAATATGTATTGTGCATTCATTGACTATGAAAAAGCGTTCGACACAGTTGTTAGAGATGCCTTATGGGTAAAGCTTTAAAAACAAGGTGTCAGCTGTAAATGGTTAATATTGTTAAGTCTAATATGCAAATGTTAAATCTTGTGTACAAGTGTCTGCTATGAATTTTTCAGAGTTTTTTGACGTGTCTATAGGTTTAAAACAAGGGGAACCACTCTCGCCATTATTATTTATTCTTTTCGTTAATGACATTAATGAAAATATTGATTTACCTATTAACTGAAAATGACCTAAATCAGTTAAATATGTATATGCTTCTTTTTGCTGATGATATTGCTTTATTCACAACTAACCCTGAATCTTTGCAAGCTCAGATAGATGTTGTAATAACTATTCTATTAAAATGGGGCCTTAAAATAAATGTTAATAAAACAAAGATATGTATTTTTGAGAAAAGAAGACAAGTAAATAATTTTGTGTGGAAAATTAAATGATGAAGAAATTGAGGTAGTAGATAATTTTACTTATCTTGGTGTAAATTTTACTTATACAGGAAACATGAAAAAGTCTGTTAAAGCATTGTCAGATCAAGCTCTTAAAGCATATAATTCACTTTTGTCTCTTTTGATAAAGTAAAATTTTGATATAAAAATGAAGCTTGCACTTTTGATTCTTTGGTTGTACCAATTATTCTCTATAGCTCTGAAGTATGGGGTTTATGAATTTCCTGAAGTAGATAAAATACATATAAAATTTGTAAACTTGTTTGGGGTGTTAAACAACAAACTCCTAATTTAGCTGTTCTTGGTGAACTGGGTAGTACCCACTTTCTGTTATTTGTAAAGAAAGAGCTATTAAATATTGGTTAAAAATAATGAAAAATCAGGATTCACCTATGTATAGATTATATTTAGATCATAGCAATGGAAATAATGTGAATTGCTGGCGTATAAGATTAAACAACTGATTGACAATTTAGGCTACAGTAATTTTCTAGTGAATTTTAGGCAAGATGTAAATTTTTTTGCCTGCTATGAAACAACGTATTAGAGATCAGTTTATAAATCTTGGAATGAGACAACACTGAATATGTCTAAATTAGATTACTATAGAAAGTATAAAATATATTTTGGTTATGAAAGATATCTGAGCATTATAGAGAAACGATAAGTTACGAAAATGTTTAACATTTTCAGAATGTATTCTCACAAGCTAGAAATTGAATTCGGGAAGATTTATTGGTTCACAAAGACACGAGCGAATCTGTAAAATGTGTAATACAAAAAATGATTGAATCAGAAATATCACTTTTTATTAACTTGTCCTGCATATGTTGATTTGAGAGCTAAATATTTGGGTAATTGTTCATGGCCATAATGTACATAAATTTGTTAATACAATGTATTATGTCTTGTAGTAGTAAATGTAAGCTGTATAAAACTGCAAAATACATATATGAGGCTTTCCAGTTAAGGAAGATATGTCTAGAAACGGGAAGCTGCTTCTTAAACTTTGAAAATGTACACGTTTGTTTGTATGTTTATATGCTTATCTTGTAAACTATGTATGTTATATGTCTTGGCCATATTCGTCATTTGTATTTGTTAAATTGGCCAAAGGTATATTAAATATGCCGATTTGCCAAATAAAAACTGAAACTGAAACTGCTAATTTGCATGTTTTCGCTCCGCGCTCCCGCCATTTTAACTTGTTCATTTTTGACTTTTGGTTTAGCGGGGTCGCGGGTCGAAAACTCGAATGGCAAAAATCAGCCACTACATTAATTTGCCTGAGTATCCTCTTAAACATGATATTTGTAATCTGTCACACATAACATGACCCAGGCACATTATTGTATGTCACATATCAGCTTCATCTCCGCTGTGGTCAGGTTTGATACAACTGTTCGGACATTATTTTTTGGACAACATTAGTCACGTGTGATCCGCAGGCAATTTTCTGTTTATGTCCAGTTAAGAGTTAATTGTAAATTTGTTAAAGATAAAACCAGATGTTTCTTTAATGCGTCCGTTATCTGGGTCTGCATCAAATAATATCTTCAACACTTACCTGACCAACACCATGACCTCAAGGCTTTGGATGAATATATCCGAAACAATCCGAATATATTTAGTCAGAGGTTGACTGCATTACATCTACATAAGGTCGACGACTCGCTGTTGTTTTAAAGAAGGAAAATAAAACAGTAAAAAAGCAACAACTTTAAATTTCAGCATGGATTTTCGAGTATTACAATTGTTTATTTTCATCGGATTATTTAACTGCATTTTAGCGTCTAAGGTAAGTTTATACTCTCTTGATGATATGTTATACATTGTATATGAATGAAAATATGATCAGCGGGACCAGAAGACAGGCATTGTTTATTGTAAATATTTAAAGATATTCTATGCTTAAATTTGATTCAATTGTTACATTTTTCTGTGTAAAAATGAAATAAACATGTTTTGACTTCATACAAAGTAAATAAGTTATGTTTAAATTTATACACACTATAGGTGGCCATAATATGACTATATAGTGTCATTAAAAAAACTGGCAGTATTTGTAGTTCTTTTTTAACGAAAAGACCAACTTTACATAACCTGTAAAAGGGAAAGCAGTTACATGCATGTAGTTTATTTATTCTTTTATTCAAATAAGACATAATTATTAACTTAATAATTATTTGATTGATTTCAATAAATTTGTGATTAAAATATTTTACTCAAGGATGACCAAAGTATATCAGCAGCGCTCATATCTGTAAATAAAAAAATAAACACTAGCATTTCTATATCAGTGAAAACCAATGTCCTTTTCTGCTATAATGCACTGACAGCTATAGTATAATGCTCCGGTATATTGCTCAAAGCTTAAAGAAATTATAAAGAAAAATATTCCATTTTTTTTGGTCATTTTAAGCAAATCGCTGATAGAATGATTATATCTTATCGAAGATATTAAGTAATAAAGGGACATACAAAATATACTTTAGACAAACACAAAATCAGAAAGAATACATAGTTTGAAGAAGAAAAATCGTTTACAAAAGGCTACCTCTATATAAAATATCACTTGTATTATATATAATTATATATTATATAAAGATTGCTTATGTTATTCTTCCTATAAAGCTGTGTGCATTAAGATGTCATATCTTATTCAGGTTTATGAGTGGCAGAATAATTGGGGTTCAGGCTTGTCGACTAAGGAGTTTGCCCAAATTCACGAACTTGACAAAACTATTACCCATTATGCAACTGATGAAAGCGCCTCAGCAAAAAGTTCCCCGGCTGTCAGCCTTTATGATCTTAACACGAGAGAAGATGATTTTAAAAAGGTACGTAGAATTAGGGATAATATTTTTCATTTATTTCTGTCTTTGATTTTCTTGGATTTTAAGTATTATCGTCACTGTAAAGATCATATGAAGACTTCCGAGATTAACTTCTGAACCAAGGCCTCACTTTCCTTTCCGTGCATTATTTTAGGCATGTGGGAAAAAGGTCTTACCAGGTAGAATGTTATAGGCCAGATGGTAACGTCATTATATGTAGCATGACGTTGACAAAAATATAATTACATGTATACCACTACTTAAAATATTACCTAATATGATTCCCGATACCTAAACAAGCAAGCCGCTAAAACATGAACATATAGAAAATATTCAATAATGTGGCTGATTTGTGCCATGTCGTATTTTCGGAGCAAAAATACAAGTTTGCACTAATCAGCCACCAAAGAAATATGAGAGTTTACATCATAAAGGACACCGCCGTTCATGATACGTGTTCCCCAAAAATCTGATCATTTAATACAGTGTTATTAATAGTTATGAAAATTACAGGGAGTTAGGATGAATAATACATTTAGGAACGCGGGGGTTGCTGGGTAATAGAAGAGATTAAAATAACAAACTTACAGAAATGGTGAAATATATTTACAATTTAAACAAAGGAACCACTACACAAAACATTTACACGATTACAAGACAGTCATTGTTTCTTGTCGTATCTCGTTTTCTTTCTTTTTTACAAAATTCCCAAAAAAGGCATATTTATAGAGAGTGTTTCGATAACAAATATGCATGCTTAAATACGGGTGTTACATTCAACAACGTATTATTCTGTACACTTCTTAATATATTTATTCTTATTAGAAGGGTACAGTTTGATAAGTTTCGACGTGGGTAATTTATAGCAATGCAGTAAAGAGTTATTCTCTCACATCTCTCAACTCGAGTACTAAAATTACACGAAGACGTCTTAATTCGGCCGTCCGATTTGCTCAAGTGGTAGATAGTTGTCCAGACTGTGAATCGAGTGACCAGGGTTCGATTGCCGGACGGTGCATGGCACTTTCTTCGTAGTTGATCATGAAATCCATTCTACGGTCATTCGCACTGTGCCTGTCTTCTGGCCTGTACAGAAGTAATCAGTTCCTTGCAAAGGTGAAGGCAACTAGGACTGGTAAACTGATTGACAGCCTGCCCGGGAACGAGACGGTGGCTTAACTGCGTTTGGTAATTCAGAGTGGCTTACTGCCAACACCACCACAAGCACGCCTTAATTTTATTAATTGTTATTTTTAACACTAAAATATGGAGAGTCTTTTCTGTTACATTTAATAGTTTATTACATTTCTGTTTTATATTTCAGGGAATAGTTGCTATTAGACCACTTGTGGCAAAAGGCAGTCAAGTCTGTTTCATTTCAGAAATGGTAAAATACTGGCCTGGAACCGAAAAAGCTATAACTAACCGGCATGGGGTATGATATTTTGCGCTTATGTTATTCAATTTAAGTTTAATAAGTAAATTATATAGTTATATAGTAAACTAAAATATTATTCATTTTAAGTTTGATAAGTAAATTGTAAAAAAAAATATTATAGAATGTCCTAAACATTGGGTCATGAAGTTGAGTTTTAATCGATCAGAGGTGCCCTGAAAAGACACCTGTTTTAATTGGTTTGAAAAGGTTTCGGGCAGTTTTAAGAATCAACGTATAAGAATATAAGAATCTTACACCGTCTTGCGGTACAGACTGGAATATCTAGCTCGAAGGTAAATGTTTACGTGGCCGAGTTTCCGCTAAACAGTTACCCAAGAGCTAGATATTCCCATCTGATACAGCAGCCGGTATTTTGTTCTTTTTCTTGCACATTATATATTAATCAGACTTCGAAACTATTATTTCAATATAGGACTTTTTCTAATAGTAGCGTATGAATTTAACACTTCAGTCATAATAATAAAATTTACAAAATTGAACTTCACCAAGTTGAGTCTTAGGGTTACTTTTTATATTAAAAGAAAATTCTTACAATTTTAGTATTCTATCATTTATAACTTGTGTCAAAATATATTCATAGTCATAAAACCAAAGGGACGATTCACTTGTTTCTTTATTTTTCAAAGTAATACTATTTTAAATGATGTTTTCCCATTTACCGCTATCTTTACGCATACATTTAATTTCTTTCCTTTACAGACAACAATAAATGCACCGAAATCAACAAATTACTACAAAGTAAAGAAGCTATTCCCGTCAAACCTTGACCCTCTTTCTATACAAAGTATAGCTGACTTCTGTAACGTAGATTCAGACCATATATTCTACATGGATCCCATTGAAAATGGTAAGATGAGTAATTTAGATAAAAAACTTTTAAATGCTGATAAGGTGTCAATCAGCCATATGTCGGGTGAATATTTCACAGGATATATAATGCCACTAACTAAGTAATCCCCTGAATGTTAATCTTACTAATTCCTTCAAGAATTATTATTGTGCTATGTAACACCGCACTTTGGGGTCAAACGCACTTTGGGGTCCACCCCAAAGTGCGTTACGTACTTTGGGGTCCAACCTCAAAGTGCGTTTCGCACTTTGGGGTCCAATTTCGACCCCAAAGTGCGTTAAAGAGGTACATATGCATTTTTTAACATCAGGCAAACGACCGCACTTTGGGGTCAGAGAAAATTTATGTTCATTATGTTTTAGATAATATAGTGTAGTCAAAACCAATGGTAAACAAAAATCAAGGTATTAAATAGACACAAAACATGTGCTTGAATCAATAGGGATTTAAATGGTCTTGATTAGTAAGTGAAGAACTTTTACTTGATAAATCACCAAATAAAGAATTTCTATCAATTATTAAACTTAAAATATGTTTTTCTCAAATTTTCCATTTATTTTGAAAGAATGTACACCTTTCATTAACAGAACAGAACAGAACATTTATTTTATTAGATTTGTACCATAAGTACATCATCGTAACATATTTACAAAATTAATACATTTACATGTAATATAATACAGTCACATGATAAACCAGTGTTTATAAGTATCAAATCGCAATAACACATACATTGCATTTACACATTTACATTTAATAAAATTACAAATACATAATATAATCATGATACTTTAAGCATACAATTTCATCGTTTTCTATTATAAGAGGATGGACTTAAATATGTGTAGCAGATGCTCTTAAAGTCATAGCATGTTTAATATAAAGAGCTAAATTTTTAAGAATTGTTCTTTTATCATTTTTTAATAGTTCGACAAATTTAAACATGCTTCGTTTTACATAATAATACTTTTTTATATATTTTTTCCTTAAATCAATATAACATGGGCAAATCAAAATAAAATGATACTCGTCCTCAATGTCGTGCTTATTACAGTATATACAATAACGTTGATTTCTATCGATTCTTTGTGTACTGTATCGACCTGTTTGAATTTTCAAAGAATGTGAGGATAACCTTAATTTTGTTAAATAACATCTTTAATTGCAAGGCAAAATATCCAAGTATTTTTCGTACTCAAAATTACTTTTGACATGATTATATACTTCTAAAACAGGACTGTTTTCTTTATTTACATGCCACTCTTGAACAAAATTATCGATAATCCGTTGTTTAAAACATAATATAAAAGTCTTTTCACATTAACGTCATTGTCTTTAGCTAAATGCATCATTTTCCCGTCTGTTATTTACACGTTTTACAGAAATATGATAGTCTTAGCATAGACAAAGGTATAAATTCTTGGTATTCTTAGTAAGACATTTCAGTAAAAAATTTGCCTGATAATTTGCTAAAATAGCCATTTATTTAGCTAAATGTGACACGTTAGAAACTTGACTAGGTGTAGATGCGGCTTTAAGTAGTAGTCCGTACAGGCAGTACTAAAATATCAACTATTTAAGTAGTCGCACATTAAGAGCGGAGCTTCAGAATAATGTAAAATTCTGAGGGTATAGAGGGGAGTGTGGGGTATCGACCCCCCCCCCCACACGAGGGTTAAAAAATAACATTTTAAAGGCCCATTATGCTTTTTTGTTTTTCTTAAAAGTTTTTTTATTTTGATGTTCTTTTACATTATCAAAAAATACACATTGGTCAATTACCTGAACCATCCTTTTCATCTGTTGCTTTTTGACAAAAAGTACTTTTATAGAGAATAAGTATTTTATATGGAAATACTACATTGTTTTGACTACTTTTTATGAAAAATAATTTCACATTTATCGCTACTTTATTCAGGTAACAAGCATCTTACATTTCTCTGATACCAATATTTTAACATAATAAAATTCATGTTTGCTCTTTCTAAAGAAGTATGTAAGATTCCCCATTAAAAAAAGCCTCTGGCGAACGGTTGTTACGGAGCTTACAAAAAACTTAAGTTTGTTGATAAACTTAATAATGTATTTGTAAAAATCACTATTTATAGTCCGATCGGAAAACTTGATGTTTCACCAGAATATTGCAATAGTGCATATTTATAGTTCTTTGGAAAAAAAATTAACTTTATTTTATTTCATTCCCAACATATTTAAAATGGGGCTCAACATGGCACCAAAAGTTATCAAGTAAATGACTGACAGAACGGGATATTTTTCGCAGCATCTTTTAACTTTAGGAATACACAATTTCTGTACTAGAGTATTTTGAACGGTGGCATAAAAGTGACATTTGCAACTTTGTTTTGTTTTTGCGTACATATTTTTTTTGTTTTTTTTTTGTTTGTCGTACCATGGATTTATAATATAAATCCGTGGTCGTACATATTTTTTTAAGTTTTGAATATATACTTTTTTAGTTTTGTATACATACTCTTTTTTAGTTTTGCATACATATTTTATTTGAGATTATTGTACATATTTTATTTTTGTTTTGTTTTTTACTTTTTTCGTACATATTTTTACATGACGCCATTTGCAAAGTAGTCGTTTGGATAATTACGCCATTCGTAAAACACCGTTTTCAAACACTTCACCATCTGTAAATTACAGTACCCCATTTGCAAACGTCATTTGCAAATACCAACATTTTCATTTTTGGAGGTATCAAAAAGACTTTTTAGTATATATACACATGTATATACATGTATATATATATTTTTTTCTAAATCAGTGGAATATAAGACCTATTTAGATGTTTTATTGTGCATTATTGTAATACACCAGTCATTTGTAACCACCTCCCTTGTCCCAGAGGAGTGCGAGTTAAAAAAAGAATCGTTGTTTTTGATGTCTGCACTGTTCTGGGGGCATAAGGCAGGAATGTTATTATCTGAATATCCCCCGCAGGGCGAAGATTTTACCAGTGGTCGGCTTGGTTTAAAGTCAATGCCCACCCCCGCTATTCTCATGGGGTGGGGTTGAGTGGTGCAGCATATTCATGGGAATAATAACTGATCACCAATCAACAGCCCTTTCCAAATAGACACTTCTACAATAGTATATAATAAAAAAACATGATTATATAAAATACATATGATTTAAAACATGGGCCGAAAAAGGTCGGCCGAAACCAGACTTGCGCGGCCAAAAACGACGATTCCAAAAATGGGCCGAAATGTGACCAAACCACTGTGCTAGTTTTATACTCAACTATGGGCTGTTATGAGATATGAAGGCTGTTTTGTTGGCTAAAATATGTACGAAAAACAAAAATAAAATATGTACGAAAAACTACAATAAAATATGAATGCAAAACTCAAAAACTAATAAATAAATAAATAAATAAAAAATATGTATGCAAAACTGAAAAAAATATGTATGCAAAACTTAAATAAACATATGTATGCAAAACTTAAATAAAAAATGCAAATGTCACTTTTATGCCATCGTAATTGTGTTATATGAACACAATTTTTAGATATTTCAAGTGGTAAAACTAATGAAACTTTTATCACTTAAGCATCAAACAAAGTATAGACCGCCATCTTGAACTCCACCTCAAATATTTCAATGTCGCAGATCGAAAATAAGTCAGTACTCAGTATTTAAGCAGAACCCAGATTACACCTTTAGACCTCTGGAACCCAAAGTGCGTTGATATGTAGCAGATTAACGCACTTTGGGGTCAATTTCTCGATTTTAAACCCAAAGTGCGTTTGACCCCAAAGTGAGGTGCGAAGTTTAATGCACTTTGGGGTCGACCCCAAAGTGCGTTTGACCCCAAAGTGCGGTGTTACAGTGTTTTAATCGATATCTGAATATAAAAACATAATAAGTTTTAGATCATTCGCGCACTTCGTTTTCCTAGAATAATTATCTAAATTGTAAAAAAGAAAAATGAAAAGCATTTAAATGCTTGTCAGTCAATCGGGCTAAGAAAGGTATAGAAATACGATTTTCAATTTATTTCAAAGTATATGACTGTCTTCACCATCTTTGCATATATTTCTGATTAAAGTGACCTAGCTCAATTATGTAAGAAATTCAAATGTTATGGTCTAGGCTTTTAAACTTTGGTGGAGTCCCTTTAAACACTATGTTCAGTAGGGAATAGTGTGAAGCGTGTTTGAAATTGTGTTCTTACCTTACATGTAAGCACATTGGTGTAACACGTTACATAATTATTTTCAGTGAAAGGTTACAAACAAAAGTTGAAGATCCATGGACTCTTTGGACGCTTGGTTGTTGGTATTCCGGATAAACATATAGATACAGTATTTGGTAATTGAATAATCAAATAAAAAAATATACACATTATACAGTATAGATTGACATTTCAAACGTGATTTTTCATACAAATATTGCTTTAACAGAATAAATTCTAAAACGAGCTAATGCCAATTAAAGATTGATATATTTAAAAGGTGAAAGTGTTTCTTTCTTATAAATCATCTGGAAATTAGGTATATATGATTATTTTTCAATATACTAAGAGTTCTTTATATAGAACATAATCAAATTTCAGGATGTACAGGCTGCTGAGATTGAAATCTTATGTTGCGAATTTTCGGAATTTCAGGATAAAGATTGAAAACGAAAGAGTCTTGCGAAAGTTCTATGTACATAATCAAACTTGTATAATTTTTATTTTATTTCTTTCCTAGGTGTTCTTCGTCAAAATGCTTCGGATTTTTTAAGACATTTTTACCTGTAAATGAAGGTTGCAGGCTAAAATGTTTTATTAATTTTAATGTATTTTATTTTCAGCAGTCATATAATGAGTATACATATAAATGTCATATTTGTGCTATTGCATGTTTTACATATGAGTTTAAGCACACCACTGAATAGCTTTTTCACTTATTATTTTTTTATAATGCGTATGTTTGATGAAGCTTATTATTACATTTGGCACACTGTTTGCGCACGAAAAATGCTATGTTAGAATAATTTCATTTCAAATCACTGATTTTTTAGGTTTGATTGTATTGTTATTGTATAGTTTTGATATTGTATACCAGACATCTGTTAACTTGTATAGTTTATTCATATTGCACTGTTAAGAAATTTATATTGCACACATTGCTCAGCGTAACAGTTTGATATTACACGGTTTAAAGACTGATAGCACAACGCTTATTGACTATTCAATATTGATGTTATAATGTTTATTGAACGGTTATTTCTTAGAGCTAAAATTATTTTCTATATAATTAACTATTATTTACATGTTTAAATACCAGCGTGCCCTGCTTTTATTGTATTTTCTTTGATCACCAGTTCCTTTATTTTGCGTTACATGTATATTGTATGGTCACATAACTGACGCCTCTTTGTTTTTGTTGATGTACTGAAATAATTTAGAAATCTGTTTGATTTTCTTTAATAATATAGTTAATATTATATACTGCTGCTGTTTTAAGCAAAACGCATTTGATTTTTAAGGTTTTAGTAAAGAAAATGAAAGAAAAGTTATTTGTCTTCTTCTTTATTTGACTCCATACATAGACGTTTAATACATAACATGTATAACAATATCGAATGTCGAATACATATTTATTAAACTTCGCCGTCGTCTACTTTAAAGGAATACATTGCCCATGTAGTTGACTATGTTAGAAAATTAAAAGATCTATATCTTTAAAATAAAGACAGTATGTTCTTAAGATACGTATTTTATCCTTTATAAAATAGATTTGATAGCATTTCTGAGGCCTGATCGTCCTTTAATTTTAAACAATGGATAATTATGACGTAATATCACTGATAAAGCTTCTTTTTCTGTAAAAGGTTATATTTGATTTGCCAAGGTCATTTCATTATGCAATGTAAAATGTCAAGGTAACTTACAGCATCTTTAGATCAGAATTATCTCCCTTGGCACGAATAGTTACGAAGAAGTCGTAAAAGTGTTCACACAGTCAACAGTGATAATGATTCATATGTGTTAACTGTCCATGAAATCAGGAAGTAAATAAAACAAAGATAGTTTCTTGTTTGTGTCTCTGCATTCTAGGTCACAAACACCTTGTTGTTTTGTTTTTTTTTCACATTTTTTGCAACACTATACAGGAATAAAGATACAATTTCATGATAATTTAGAATTGAAGTATAACGATTTTCTAGCACACAGATAGAAAAGGCAGCAATAAAACAATTCTAATAAATACAAAGTAAATAGAAAATAGTTTCCCCCTATATGTGTATCTCACAATTAACCAGCATTTTTTTGTATTTCGCACTGGAAAAAAAAACAATTTAAAGGCCCATTATGTCTAAGAAATGCCATCATTATTTCCCAAAAACTGTTTAGTTTCGGTACTTGTTACAGTTTAAAAAAAAATTAACACATTTGCTATATACCTGAACTATCTTATGTATATTTGTATATTTTGCATTGTTGACGATTAATATAATTTTAGTGAATAAGTATTTTGTATGGAAGTAGAGTCAAAATACTACTTAGTTTACATTTTGATACCTTTAAGACGCATATATGTATGCTCAGAGCTTACATTATCAAACACATGTTTGACATTTCTAACGAATAAAAAATATGGATTTCTGATGCATAATAATTATGTCTTTAAACGAAAAGGTAAGTATAGTTTATTGATATATACTATGGAAAGCCTTGACTGTCTTATGATTGTAAAAATAAATGTTGTTGTGTCACTCTTTCTTTATACTATGTGCACTCATGAATATATTATGTAGATGCATCCTTATATGAATTCAACTGAACAATATATGATGTCAATGTGTCTTTATATGATGTCGACCAATCATTATACGATGTGCATTTATGAATATATGATGTGGTAGAATCATTATATACAGTCAACTTATCAATATATTATGTCAATCTTTCATTATACGATGTGCATCTTATTATTAAACGATGTGCATTTATGAATATATTTGTGGTTGCATCATTATATACAGTCAACTTATCAATATATTATGTCAATCTTTCATTATACGATGTGCATCTATTGTTATACGACCGCTGCTTTATATGAAGTGCAAACATCATTATATGGTGTGCTTCTGTCATTATACTGATAGGGTTAAATTAACCGGGTTAATATTCTCACTATGCACCGTTCGTAGCAAACAGCGGGAAAACTCAAAGTAAATTAAATAGCTGACTATATTAAAGACAATTCTACATTACTATAGTGTTGTTTTGACTCTATATAAGAATGGTTCCACATAATATATTCGTAATTGCACATCATATAATGAAAGACTGACATCATAAAAAGGACGTTTGACATCATACTATATTGTTAAGTTGACTCTATATAAAATATGGTTTCACATAATATATTTATTAATGCGCATCGTATAATGAAAAGATTGCTCATATAAGACGTGTTGACATCATATATTGTTAAGCTTGACTCTATATAAAGACGGTTCTACATAATATAATGTTGTTTTTACTCTATATAAGAGATGGTCCACATAATCATATTCGTAATTGCACATCATATAATGAAACACGACATCATATAAGGACATAATCACATCATATATTGTTAAGTTGACTCTATATAAGGAGGGTTTAACATAATATATTGAAAAATGTACATAGTATAATGAAAGACTGACATCATATAAGGAAGTGTTGACATCATATATTGTTAAGTTCACTCTATAAAAGGAATGGTTTCACATAATATACTGAAAAATGCACACCGTATAATGATAGAATGACATCATATAAGGACGCGTTGACATCATATAATGTTTGACTTATTTATTTTTTAAAGAATTTATTTTTTTTTTTTCCACATAATATATTCATAACTTCACATCATAATAATGACAAACTTACATCATATAAGGACAGATTGACATCATATATTGTTGTTTTGACCTTATATAAGGATGGCTCCACATAATATATTCAAAGATGCACAACGGTATAATGATAATTGACATCATGTAAAGGCACGTTGACATCATATATTGTTCAGTTGACTACATATAAAGATGGATCCACATAATATATTAATGAGTGCACATTGTATAAGGAAAGGTTGACTCAATATATTGCTATATGAACATAACAACGTTTAGGTTTATAATTATAAGACAGTCAAGGCTTTCCATAATATACTGTCAGTTTGTATAATCATCAACATCCAAACGTTATAATTTTAGGCACGCACCAGCACTCTTGGTTATTTGATGACCCTTTTAAACGGGATATCAATTTATGGAAGCAGACAGAGTGCTTATTTCAAAATCGAACTAAATTAATAGGTTTAATCTCAAATCGAGGTCATTTCTGTTTACAAATCACATTTATATTTTGATACCAGGGTGCATCAATAAATTCGTAACGTCAAAACCACTGGTCCGTTTAAAATGAAATTTTAAATGCTGTGAAAACAGATAATTTCAAATAGAATCGTGTTATGTACACAACTTTGACGTCATCACTAATGACGTCATAAACCATAAATGACGTCACGTTACATGCGTCAGTTCGAAAATGGCGTCACACAGCGTCAACAAACAGCGCATCGTTATAAAATTTTACACAAAACTCGAAAAGTCTTTTTCAGATATTCGTGAAGATTGGCAAAAAGTTTACGGAGAGGCTGCGTTGTCTTAAAGTTGCCATTTTAAAGCGGATGAAGCGATTTAAACACGGAAGAGAGTCAACTGAAGACGACAGTCGTGCAGGCAGACCAGTTACTGTAACAGATGAAGAAACAGTGGCTGCCATTCAGGAGTACATACTCCGAGATAGACGAGAAAGGTAAAGGTAAAAAGGTAAAGGTCTTGTTTATTATAGTGTCACCCCTACTGAAAAGGGCAGCCATTTTGACTTATGAGACCCCTTTTGGCTGGCATACCATGCACCTCCCCAATTCCTACCACTATGCCAGGCGCCAGGGGATAGAAATCGGTAACCATTCATTTTAACTACCTCGCGGCTCACGAAGCGGCCATTTTCGGAACGAGTCCCACAAGAAACATTCATCCTTCAATTAACGCTCCCCGTGGGGCTCGAACCTTCGACCTCCCGATCCGAAGGCGGACGCCTTAACCACTAGGCCAACGGTACCGTAAGTGTGGAGCACGTAGCAGATAAGTTCGGTATTTCATATGGTACAGCTCAGGGCATTATGACTGATAGATAAGGAATGTGCCGCGTTTCAGCAAGATGGGTGCCTCGTTCGTTGACGTCGGAGCAGACGGGGTAAGGGTGAAAATGTTTCAGCAGTTAGGACAGGAGGGTATCGTAAAAGAAGGCGATTACGTTCTAAATCGAGTGATAAATGTGATGAAACGTAGATTTTTTTGAACCTGAAAGCAAACGTCAGAGTTCTGTCTGGAAAATATCTTCCTCGCCCTACCCTACAAAAGCGATAATTTCTAAGTCAGCTGGAAAGGTTATGGCCATTATATTCTGTGATACATACACTGTAGTGCAAAACGCTTTGTTCCTCCGAATTACGACAGTTCACTGGAACTATTACGCAACATTAGTCTAAGAAAAAACACTCCATTGCGGCAATAAGGAACGAGCGCCCACTTTCACTTAGGTCCAGATTCATAGAACATTACGACAACGCGCCGAGCCATTCAAGCCACGTTGTTATGGGATTACACTAGAAAAGCTCGACGTCGAATGCTACCGCAAACCCTACCTAACAGCCCGGATCTTAAGCAAAATTTCTGACTTCTTAGCTGTTTTTCCAACTTTAAAAATACAGTCCTTTGTGGTACGAAATTTGAGTCCCAATGTTGCCGTGGGAAAAACAGCTTGCGGGGATGTCACGGACGGGCTACCCAACACGTTTTCCAGTCATGGGTCGAGAAATTGGACAAGTAAAATCGTTCATGGGACGTTACTGTGAAAAGGAGTAATCACCCTTTAGGTACTTGAAGAAAATCATTTTTCCCCGCTATTAAAATTAGTTTACGAATTTATCATGCACTCTCGTTACCATGTAACACAATTCAGCCGGAAACTATTTTTTGCATTTGTAAACTATTGACTTTGTTTTAAGTTTAAAACCTATGGAAATCACGACTGTCAATGGAGTTTTACGTCTACGAATCATGCGCAAATATATTTAACTTATACATCCAAGTGTAATCTTTATAAGTTTCAATGGAAGCAAAGGGGTAATATTACGTTATGCGAAAAAAGGATGAAAAAAGAAATATATCACAGTTGTAAACATTTTTAATCTCCGTGATAAATATGGGGTTTACGTTTCCATTTAATAAGAGGGTAGTAAATGCACAACTTTATGCAAACAAAAAACAACACAAGCAAAACAAAAATAAAACAACAATAATAGGTAAAATTTGAGATTATTAATATGGCATTTAAATTTGTTTAAAACAAACAAAAACAACAATACACTAACCAAATTTCCAAAACATTATAATTTAAATAATTATATAAGTATTCAAAAAATAAGAACAAAAACAAGGGAGGTTAAAAATTCTGCATATTTAAATCATGAATATGAACTAAAAGTTTCGATTTTGGATGTATGAAGGGAAAAGCTATATAATACATGAATCGTTCTAGTTTAATTCCACTACAGAACATGTTTAAAATTAAATTTAAATTATTTATTAAATGTACAATTTAAAATTAATAATATTTATCACCTTAAACGTATGTGATTATCATTTTGACAGTAACCCAACAGGGGAGATAAGTGTTATACTCTAAGTACTATATTTTACTTAGTTGTAAGGTCATTTAACCCATTACGTCATATACACGCCTTTTAACGCCTTTTCACCCCCCCCCCTTTTTGTTGTCTTAAATGATGAAAAAATGCCTTATTTAGGCACCCAACACTTGTTTTTGTTTGAGAAATGTTGTTCAAAAAAGTGACCTCTTTTTCGGCGCGGCCCCCCACCCAAAAGATACATAAGGGGGTTGCCAGAAGGGGGATGTGCCCCCCTTCTGTTTGGGGGGTTTGAAGGCGGGCGGAGTCCCCCTCATCGCCAAGAAAATTTTGGACTTGTGAGAGGCTATAAATGACCGCAGATTGATCATAAGGTAACGTGTAACCAACGCTGAAAAGCATTTGACTCTATCTCAACCCATTTAGAAGTTGCAGCACTTTGAAATCAATTTTGATGGAAAAAATCAACGCAAAATAGTGATTTTTGGCAATTTTGAGATGTCCTCTCGTTGCCATGGTAACAGAAAATTTAAGCCTGAGCATGTTGTTGCAAGGGCAACGGTCCAGTCAACATTTGTGCCAAGTTTGATTAGTGTTGAAGCAGTTTTTATAGTATTATAGCAATATGAACTTGTAACGGGAGACTTTTCAATGAAAACAGCCATTTTTCACAAAATGCTCATGAAGTAATGGGTTAACGATGAAAATTGTTCGGCGTTCTTTCATTCAAATATGACTGCCGACATACATTTATGAATATGAAAATAATATATATACATATAGATGTCGGAAGGTACTAACTAGTACATAATGCTCGTCTTCGTATAACAAAATAATGAAATAGTCATTAAATAAAACAGTAGAATAAATTAATACCATTACAATGGGTATGTAAACTTTTGCATTGATAAAACAAATAAGTCTGTATGTTAATCTTTTAACAATATTGTGCACGAGTTTTTAATTTTACACAATGTAAAATGCATTTTTTATGTAATGTAGCACTTTCTAAAGCTTCATGAACTGTAGATAAACATGGCACGTTGACATATGAAGCAAAAACACTGTCAATGTTCTTTAGTTAATAAATTAAATATAAAACAAAAACAATCAACAAACAGACATTTGTTTTGGTGCAAACTTTTTGCGTCGGTCGTAAACACTTTTCACCTAGTAGGATACTATAATTTTATAATATTTAACAATTATAATAATCATATGAAAAAATAAAATTTGGCATGTGTCATTGTTTCAAAATTGCATGTTTATAGAATGTTTAATTTACATTTTCAATTGTTTTTAGTTTAATATACAGAATTTATTTAAGGTCGATTATGTTGCAAGCTACAAATTTATTGAAACACTCTCGAATCCGTTAACGAAGCAACCGTTACTAAGAAATAAGTGTAAAGTTTCTTGCTCACGGTAAATGCGGCTTGCCCTTGACGGGGTTTGAACTCAGACGGCCAGCAATTCATAGATTACTAGTCATTATCCTATAAGCTCAAGTTTAGATTCAAGCTTAGGAGAAGATTATAAACATATTGATAATTATACACATTAGCAATTGTAATTCAGCTTGTACTGAGAAATATGAACTTTCATTTCATAACGCTTATATTGTAATACTGTCATCATTTGTATTGTTAGGATTATTTCAACACGTGAAGTCTTTATTAGCCTCATATACGTTCTATAAAGCGGGTTAAAAATAAGGTCAATTACATTTATTCACCATTCAACCCCAAAGCAGTTAAACAATTAGAAACCAAACATATATATTTTCAGGAAAATCCTAAAGATCGTGTAACAACATTTAACATCAGTCCATTGTATAGATTAATATATTAGATGAAATTATTCATATAAATACATTACATTAATATGCAAGTAAGTTATAAGCAGTGATTTATTTACTTTAACATACTTATAGATAAGAGAATGAACAGTTTCTCTATTTTACATGCATGTTATAACGTTTAAAGTAGCGGTGACACGTTTGCAATGGCATTTTATCACGTAGTAGAGTAGGTGGATTTCGTGACATATCACGTTATCTAGGAAAAATAATTATTTCCCAAATACATGTTTTATAACGAAAATTTTCGACGAATGCAAGCATGTTTAATTTGAATTAATTAAGGTATATTTAAAATAACATATCCTACTGAACTCACCAGAGAAGAAATATATTTCGCCTAAAAGAATGCTTTGGTTAGAAAAAAAACGCTAAAAATATAGGACTTATTTCCAGCGTGCTTGCTTACTTTAACTACCATGTACGAATTTTCATGTACTGACCTAACAATGAAAAAAATGATGTTACAAATATTACGATTTATCAAAAAAGATAGAGCATTGTTATACATCCATAACTAAGTTTTCAATAAAACATTCATTTGTTAACAATAACGAAAAGAATGACATAATTTGACGAACATTAACGCAGCACTAACGCAGTAAAAGTCTTATGTCGAACTTACAACATCGTTGGACGAAAAAGACACAAGTTGTGTCCCTATGTGCTATATGTTGAGCGACGGATATAAGAATCACCAACTTACTTTAAGCTACCAGTCCAGCTTACTTACATGGTACACAACCGAAAAGTCCCTTACGAAATCATAACCAATGGCGTTGAGAAGAAGAGCGTTTCCGAGTAAGAAACAGTAACCAATCAGACACCGAGTACAACCCGTCAAGAAATTTTAAAATCTTATCGTCTGCCAAATCTTACTAATTATAAATAAACACTAACCAATCGGACACCGAGTACAACCCGTCAAGAAATCCTAAAATCTTATCGTTTGCCATATTCTATAGCTTTGTTCTACTTTACAAATATTACACTTCGACCTTTATAAACCCGTAAATGACTTATGACAATATTTTAGTTTTGAATAAAACAGTTTTCATTTTAAAAAGATACATTCAGACATAATAGATACGCTGACCAAAATAAAACCCATAACACCTCGTTTCTAAGAAATCCTTAACTCTTATCCTATGCCATATTCTATAGCTTTATCTTACTTTAAGAAATATTTCACTTCGACCTTGATAAACCCTTAAATGACTTATGACAATATTTTATTCTAAAATAAAAAAAAATTCATTTAAAAAATACATTCACACATTATAGATACACTGAACAAGATAAAACACATAACACCTCGTTTCTATTCTTATCTATACATCATATTAGAAATAATTTAAAAAAAACACCCGATATTAATTAAAAATAATTTAAAAACAGTCGAACATGTATATTTGTTACCGAAATATGTTTCACATTAAAGTCAATGTGCACTACATTGAGTGAAGCTCACAAAGCAAAGAAAAAGGGAAATAACAAATGGCCATTGATGGATTCCACTGAACTTTATGGCAAGAAAATTGTTACAATATCATTTCATTCAAATACTATATATCAGAAGAATACAATAAGTTAATAAGAACATTGAAATGATATAAATGCGTGTTAATAAATAAGCTTCAATTTCTCAGTCAACTTTCGTGTTAGAATTGTTTTCCGCTAAAAGAAGAGTAAAGGACCAACTTTGCACAAAGACCGTCTGATTCTATAAGCCAATGTTTAAGTATGTCCTGCAAGTCTTCTTTCTTTCCTTTCTGTCGTGCTAGTTCTTCTAGTATTCTATCTGCACGTGCTCGTGGTATCTGTAAAACTGCACCAGAAACACCCGTACCAACCGACCACAAAGCTGCGTTTATTAGTTGTTCTTGATCCTCACCTTGCCATAACGACCACAAGAAACGACCTTTTAAATATACAGCATACAAAACAACATAACCTAGATAGACAATCTCTATCAAAAACGTAATTTTGAGAGTTTAAAAATAAATATTTCTCGATAAAACAAATCTACTCAAATTAAGTTGTATATGTGTCACAGGGTGAGAAAAATGTGACATATGTGATTATCGAAAAGAAATAAAAAAAAACCCAAACAAGTTCAAATAGAAATGACTTCATCATATAATATCTAGGAAAAAGTCAATAATGTTCTATCATTAATATATTTGTTGTTTTATTATTAAACTTTTCATTTAAAGCCATAGCTTTGAGCATCTTTCCCAAGGCCTTAACACACCTAAGTATACATTACAGTGTATGAAACTATATAAACTTATAAAACTATTCCGCAATGCCTGATACAGTTAAACATAATTTCAAATTAAGTAGTAAAGTTATTTATTCATTTATAACAGGCAAAGTGTAAAAGTGTTTATCATCTATCATAATTATATTTTTTGCATTTAAAATTGTCTATGCACATAAAAAACAGCTGCATAAAATGAGCTTATTTACATATTTTACAGACGACACCAGTTTTTAACGAACCGACTTGTTCCGTTATACGAATACAAATTCAAATTTCATATCAAACACTGAATAAACCATTTAATTATTTCCATTCTGTACAATTTAAATAAACTGAGAAATAATGAGCACCTTTAATTTTACTTTTAAAATACCTGCACAAACTGCCCCTATTCCCAAAGAAGCTTTCTGGAAGAAACCCCTGTCAGCGAGCGCTTTCTTTTCTACTGCCATGGTAACATCCTTCATCGGTGTCTCACATCGTCGAAGTAACCGCCATATTTGCTCAGTTTGAGTTATCACAGCTTTTGAATCAAATTGGTTTAAATTAAAGTTTTTACTGTCTTTTAAATGCCTTATTATATCAATTTCTAGTTTAATAGTCAAGTCCTGAATTTCAGCCACGTTTGCTCGTAAATCTCGTAATCTGACCTTGACCCTGGGTGAAGTAACGACGACTGAGTCTACCGCAACTTTACAAACGTCACTTGACGCAGAAAGAAACAACGTCTCTGATACAAGAGTAATTATGTGCCGGAAAAAGGATATAAGATAATATGGGCACTGGGAGTTCTTTTCGCGGTAGAACTGCTCCAGTTGTGAGACAAATTGATGAGATCGCAGGTAAAATTCCGTGTTTCCATGGTAACTGCAGTCTAAAAAGTCTTGTATATAGTCGTTCAGAAATTCGAGTACCGGAAGGTCGCCTTCAGCTAACTGAACCAGAAGTTTAATCCCTGAAAATTAACAAGAAATCAATAAAGACATTTGCTTAGAAAAAATTAATAGAGGCCTTTGCTTCGAAATGACTATAAGGTATAGAAAGTGTCATCTGAGTAGCAATTAATTTCTCATGTATATCCCTTAATATGTAAACACATTTAAAACGACTGTCTCAATTTATATGACAACTTACGACTGGTTTAACCTACTAGTAAAAAACAGGTGAATCTGTGTAAGTAAAATAAGTATAACGATCTCGTGAAAACTACCGTTAACCGACTCGTTACATATGTTTATATTGTAATAAACATTGTGTATCAATATTCAACATAATGCAATATGTGACGTGAATATCCAATAGTTGCATTTTATCAGTTTCTGTGTATTTCACACAATCAAGAGTTTGGTCAATAACGTATATCAATTCGTCTTCTGCTTTAAACCCGTGTCTTTAAGTCAACAATCCGAAACATATACTTGTAAATAAGTACATGACTGAATTGGGGTTAATACACTTGAATGTTGGGTACATTATCAAAAGACGTAGAGTAATTTATGCATGTCTTCGCAAACTTATAGATACAGATATCCATTAGATCTATATAAGATTTAAAATTAAAAACAAAAATACATGTATATACCATTGTGTGTTTTCTCCTCCGATGTTGGCGAATCGTTTAAATCCTGCTCGCTTTTACTTCTTTTAAGTGACACAAATTTTGCCATCTGCTGTTACAACTAATAATACAATATCCTTAACATTTTGCTTGTTCACCGATAAGGTATTGATGTTATCCAAGCGTAAGGTTAACCGATTCTATTTATATCGGTAAATCCGGGTCATTTTATCGCTTTACTTACTGATACTATACACGCTTGTCAATTTCTCAAGGTGACACGGGATCAGTCATTATTTATTTGTCTGCTCAAGTTTGTTTTTGTCTATAATTGGCAGACATAATGTTACACAATACAGGCTGTGCATGTACTAATTATGATAACACCTTGTTTGTACAATATACCATGTCATTTCAGTCATTATGTACATTTATAAACGTAACAGTGACTTATACCAACGCACGTCCCTTTGTTTACATTAGAAACGGCATCATAATGTAAATATATCGAATAAAATATGGTTAAACCAAACGGCGAATACGTATAGTTTTCATTCGCGTGTTAAAGTATATTTAGATCGATCGCAAAGAGAATAATTTTATCTTATTTTATCGTATGTACGCAATAACAAAATCAAATGATTTTCATATGTTTTTAAACATAAAAAAATATAAAAAGGAAAAAAAATAATAATATAAACATTACAACAAAATAACAAAAACAAAACCGTTAAAAGTGTGGCGAGTGTATGTGGTGGAATTATAACATTCAGGTTTTTTTTAGGTAATTAAAACATAATGAATTACATATACTGAGTGCATAGTACAATATCAATTTTTCACCTAAAACATTAAACAATGTTTATAACAAATAAACAATATGAGAAAATACAAGTCTTGTTCAATGGATATACGCAGCATCGGCAAGAGAGAGAACTGTGTTCCGCATATTCATAAGAAATTAAACCCCCTTGACCGATTTGTTAATGAAGTTGGTTTTATAAAATGATTTAATCTAATATTTAACATGATATTACAGTTTACAAGTAGCTGTATTTCTATATGAAAACTGCATACTGTTAACATAGCGCAAAAAAAAGATAAAAAAACCAACATGAACTACGATGTATAGTTAAAAAAGATACACGACCAAAGTAAAACTAGTTACATTGCATATGTTAGTTCTTTGTTTTCCATTTACATTTATGTGTTTCTAAACAAACCTGTCGCGTTTCGGTAAGTGAACTCAATTCTAACACCAACATCTACGCAGTCAGTAAGGCAACTATTTCATAAGTACTTGATTAATATGCAAAAAAATATAAAAATTATAAACATGGTATCAATGAACACATCAATAATCATATAATGTATTAGACATTGATTGAACACCATACAATAAGGGCTTGATAAGTAGTGACATTATTTTCGATATTGTGGTCAAATTTTGAATGGTTTTATAGGCCCTGCTATGAGTTTTGTTTTTGTATATATGTTTTTTTTAAATACCCTTTTATACAGGGCTAATGAAACTTGTCACGAACTTCCATTCATTTAGAGGAAAACATGAAAATAATTCATCATTTCACAGAAGCCGTGCACATGTATATAGCTTAACCAATGAAAGCGACGAAACAAAGATAAAATATTATAA